CTTAACCACCCGATCTCCGCCGGAGGGAATCTTCTTCCGCGCACCGCCGAAGGCATCCACCCGCCGAAGACGCACGACCGCACCTTTGCCTATCTATAACAGTCACTCCCGATACCCATAACTCGCGGATCCTTGCTCCGTTTCAAGAATTCTTGGGCTCGTTGGAACTAGCAGGTCAAGTTCTTTCCAACGAGACCCTAACTAAGTCAACCCGTTACGAATTGCGAAAGTTATGCCGGTTTTACCCTTCGCCGAAGGCACACCACCGAAGGCCTGTTATCTGTTATCGCCAAAGGCGCCCGCACGATGTTCGCCGGTTCGATGTCTTCTGGTTGGATGTCTTCTGGTTCGATATCCTCCGGTTCGATGTTGTCCTACCCTATCCGCCGCTTCCGACGCTCATAACTCAGTGACGCCTTATCCGTTTGAAGAGTTTTTGGTCTCGTTGGAACGAGCGTCGCGAGTTCTTTCCAACGAGACCCTAATCAAGTCAAACCGTTAACAAATGGAAAAGATATGCCGATTTTACTGTTTCGCCGATGGCCCTTCCCCCGAAGGCCCCTGCACGATGTTCACCGGCTTGGAGTTCGCCGACCCCGAGTTCGCCGATTCAGAGTTAGTCGACTCTGAGTTCGCCGACTCCGAGTTCGCCGACCTCGTATTGCCGAAGGCCTGCTCGCAGTTGTCACGAAGTCGTCCGAAGCCGGAGACGTCCGGAGCCAAACTCGCCTCAACCCTTCCCATGAGTAACTTCCGACACTCACAACTCAGTGATGCCTCATCAGTTTGAAGAGTTCTTGGTCTCGTTGGAACGAGCGTTGCGAGCTCTTTCCAACGAGACACTAATTGAGTCAAGGCGTCACACATTGAAAACGTTATGAGGGTTTCACTGTTTCGCCGAAGGCCTTTCCCCGAAGGAACTTCACCGAAGGCACTTCGCCGGAGACCCTGCCCTGAAGGACCCCTTCCGCACCTTTGTCTACTAACTATTACACCAACTCCTAATCTTGCCAAAACTTCCAGAAAACTCCAAGCACAACTTTGCAAGAGCTTAAATTTAAACTTTTAACTCTCATAAGGTTAAAAAGACATGTGAGCACAGTTTTGTGCTCACATGCAACAATTTCAAGATTTTCAAAATAATGGTTGAGGATGATTACAACCATATGATCGTGATACTACGAACAAACAAAGGAGTAGATTATTTCTGCAATATTTATCACGCTTTTTTGTATGATTGTGACACTCTGGACAAACAAAGAAGAAGAATATTTCTCCAATACTTATCACGATTTTTGTGTACAGTCACATTAACATCACACTTTAATTTGTGTGTCCACTTCACACTTGAATGAAGTTTCTGAAAAAAATAGTATTGAGATTGAGATGAGCAAAAGCTTATTTCTTTATTCTCAATTATTAAAGATACTATTGAAGGAGGTTGCAAGGAGTGTTGTTTATATTTTAAATCGGTTATCGACAAAGTCAATACAAATATCAAAATCCTTTAAGCGATTGACAATACTCATATTGAATCCCAAACATCTTAGAGTCTTTGAATGTGAGGCTTATGTTCTTAACAATCAAGTTTGACAAAAATGTTGCTATGTACATACTAGTTAACTTTATAGGCTAGTACACTTGGTCAAAATTCTATTGCGTGTATGACGCTGTTAAAGAAAAAGTGTACACCAATCAGAATGCAAATTCAATGAGTTTGTCTTGGAACTCACAATCCAACCCGCTATCATCTTGAAAATCTTGATGATATACTTACTCAAAAATTAAAGATTCAATCAAGATTTGATCTATGAATATTGTTCCAAGGATGCTTTATCTATAATGCTACACCTAATTTTGTTCCTGGACCCGCACCTACTCAATTGTTAATCTCCGTTCATTTTTAGATCCATAATATTGGTGATTTTTTTTTGTTTCTTTTGCCCCACCATTTCCACTATGCTAGATTAATACATCGATCAGAATGAATGATTTCACAACTCAAATATTTTTGTTGCAAGTCATGACAAACATATAGTTTCATATCGTAGAGGGTCTACCAATCAACCAGTCCATCACATCCACCAACATAACGGAAGTATTCTGTTAGCTACAATGCTAAAATTCTTGAAATCAAATGTTATGAGGCTGAGCTCATCTACTACATTTTTGAACAGCTCACATGCTACAACAAGATAAAGCTTCTCGCATGTCACGCGCCAATGGTTGATGAGCTAAACTTCATCAACAAGAATCATACATGGATCTTAATCAAGCTACACAGAGGAGCAAAGTTTATAATATGCAAGTAATTGTTTTGAAATAAAGAGTACTAAAAGATCTTGTCTTGTAGCAAGAAGCTTCTAAGAGAAGAAATATAAGGACTACACCAATACCTTATCTACTATTGTGAAGTGGTTCAAGGTAAGATTTGTGTTTGCCATTGCTTATGCATGTAAATGGTCAATTTGTCACATGAAGGTAAAATTTGCTTTCTTAAATAGTATTATTCTAGAATTTTTTTTTGTAGACCAACCACATGGTTTTATTAGAAAAGATTTGAAGTACTTTATATGTAAATTCAATAAAGCATTTTTTTATTTAGTACAAGCTTCAAGGGCTTGGTATGCATGTATAGATTTATATTTGAGACTGGCAGACTAGACACACGTTGTAACTCAGTTCTAAATTTTATATATTAAAGTAGCAATCTTTGAAAGTAAACTTGATGTTCTATGTAGAGTACATGTACATTCCAAGAAATAATCAATTCAAAATCTCTTAGATTAAATCAGATCTAATGCGCCAATATGAAATGAGTGATTTAGCTGAAATTCAAAAGTTTTTAGTAGTATAGTATCTTCTATAACCACAAGGACAATTATTTCGGAAGTATTATATCATCAAAGTTTTAAAACAGTTGAATATGCTTGACTGAAGGTCATCACATTATCAATGTATGAGACAACTCTCCCTGTTTATATCAACTTACAAGACTCATCTAGGAATTGATACTAGATTTTGTAGTAGCTCAAGACAACTCTCTACCACGGAATATTATTTAAACAAAGATATTCATTATAATTGTAAAAATACACAAGTGCAACATGATGTTCTTGTTAATACACATTTAAGTTTATCGGTGCTATGTTTTTTACATTCACTAGAGGTACAATATTGTGTTGTTCTAAAAAGTAAAATCTCATATCACTTTATTCTTTAAAGAAGATATTGTTCTTTGATGCATATGATATCATTTGGCTACGGCAGTTGTTGCATGAAAGCAATCCAATCATGATAACATCAATGACTATTTCTTGCAAAGAATTTAAGGTCACTTTTGCTCTTCCTACTCCCACTTCATTGATTGACTCCAAGAAAGTTAAGTGTGACAATGAGCTACGCAAGAAGTAACCACATAGGTATCCAACATCATTTTATTAGGGAATAAGTAGCTTTCGGAGAGATCGCAGTTAGATTCCCCTCCAAAATATTATAGCAAGCAAAACAAGAGTTCCGTGACAAAGAAGTTCAAGAGAAAATTGATAACATTCTTGAACAATGCAATGATGTTATTTTCTATATTATGATGAAAGTGCAAAAATACACTGTTGATAATATCTTTCTCATGTCTGAACTAATTCGATGTGAATAGAGCCGAAAACACTGTTTGCGTCAACTAGTGAGTAACTCACCTAGCTCTTGAGTCATAAGTTGTACAACCTTTTAACGAGGGAGGATAAATATATCGTGACTAAATTGCGTGACATGAAAATTCTCACTAATCAATTATCAAGTTGCAATGATAAGTTCAAGGTTTCATGACTTATATTTTAAATCAGATGAATTTGTCCAAGAGTTGGTTGAGATTTGATTCCAAAATTAAAATTATTATAATCCTTATAAACTTGACTAGAAAACGATTGTAGACTATGATGCAACAAATATACTTTTTAATATATAATTAAATATTATGAATTATGCTAACTTTAGTGGAAATATCAAATCTTCATCAAATTGAGGACAAATTCATCATCAAAACAATATATATAGATTTTGTATCTTTTGCGTAAGCAACGAAATTTTGACATCTATGTGACAAAATGGCCATCCACAATGGCATAATGATTGAACAACTTATGACCTAGATACTCACTAGGTGAGGCAAACAATGTAGATAGAATTGGATACATTGTTTGTGAGAGTATCAAACTTGACAGAAATATGATGAACTATGCGCTCATGCATGTTCATAATTATATAATAAATAACATCATCGAGTTGTTCTCGAATGAGTACAATTTTCTACTTTACTTTTTCTTTAGTATACTCTCTTTCTCGATGTCTAACTTCTTGGTAACTCTCAAATGCAAGTAGAAACTTCGAGAGAGCAATGCTCCTTCGATAGCATTCTCTCGGTCTTGCTTGATCTGTCACTTCTTCGGAAATCTCAAATGCAAGTAGTAACTTCCACACATCAATGCTCCTTCTTCTGTAGCAAAATATTTCTTTTTTCGTAAGATGACTCGCATTTGCGCAACCCCAGCAGTGTAGTTGTCGATTCTGTCCTACTTCTGTGTTGGGTCATGTACTTCGATTATCTCCAGAAATCCATGATTCCGAACAGGAGAGAATACAAAAGTTTCAAATATTAAAATCATCAAGTTAAGATCTTCATAATCTTAACAGGAGTATCGAAAGAAACTAATTATGCTCGTGATATCCTGTTGGAAACGCTGAAAAATGGTGCTGCTTTCTACTTCTCTGGAGATTTACTTCGTGTATAGTCAGCGATCTCGATCACAACCTCGACACAGTGGGCTGGATATCTATCTTGGAAAAAAAAGCCCTTTTAACAATCTTATTCTCCTTTGTCGAAACACAGGTCCAACAAAACAATCATGGCTTTACTTCACTCCACTCCATTGCACGCGCAGAGATTTCTTCAGAACGGGACAAAAGCTCGTGCTCGATGACAGAGTACGCAAATGCTTTATTGACAGATTCAAAACTGCGGATTCAAGTCTCTGTCCCTCGTGTTGGAAGTTTCGTCCTGATCAAGCAGATTTCCTGACGAACAGTGCTCGTGCTGTGACCTGATTTTTGTCGACAGAAATATCCTGCCCTCGGCTACGATCGCGAGTTGTGGCTATTTAGTTCATCTTCGTTCCCGTGAGGATCCTCGCATGATATTCCATTCGCATGTTCGCGCAAGCAACCAACTTCTCAGTCTCGAGAGAATGTCATCATCGCAATTTCTCGACGGCCTTCAGCAACCGCCTCGCCTCCCTCACTCACTTACTCAATGCCCGCGGGCTGATGCGGCTACGAGATACTCTCTGACATTCCATCAGCAAAATCCGATTCGGCATTATCTGCAAAACATTCTCCCATGCCATGCCATCCCATCCCAATCCATCCGATCCGCTCCGCTCCAGCAGCAGGACGACGATCGCTCCACTGCTGCGAAACTCATGCACGCCAATCCAGCCCCAGGCATGCGCACCTGCCACGCCCGCCACGAGTCCACGTGCTCCTCCTGTCATGAAGACTTCATGGCACGCGATGCCGGCCAAATCGACTCAACGCTCACGAATCACGAAATCCCGTCGTCCGTCTCTTCGTCCCTCCCTCGCGCGTAAATGCGAAATCGAAACCCGACCTTACTCGTCGTTATGGGCCCCCGCGTCCGCGCCCCCCCGTCCACGTCCGCGCCTCTCTCTGCCCGAGGTGGTGGGGGTGCCAGCCGCCGCTGGCTGCTGCTGCTGCTGCTGACGACAGAGGCGGGCATCGTACGAGGTACGGCCGGGAACAAGCCCTCGCGCCGCTCCCTGCGCCGATCTGTCTGTCGTAGCCCCTTGTCGATCCCGCCCCTCGACCGCGAGCTTGAGCTTCACGATTCCGAGAGCGCTGGCGTTTTTTCGTTTCTCGAGGGTCTGTTTCTTGCTCGCGGTCCTGCGAGCGGAGGAGGGATTGCTGCGTTCGACGCGAAGGGATCGGAGTTTTATGTGTCGGGGGTTTATGTGGCGATGGGGTCACTCGGAGAGCTCCGTCGAGGATGACGGTGCGGGCAAGATTTGGGGTCGAGTTCGAGCTCGGTTCTAGCTGAGCGCGGTGAGCTCGATTGATCTGGTGTGATCACGAGGGAAGAGGAGTTTGTGCGCTTCGATCACGCGGCGCTGGTTCGATTCGTGCCATGGAGCGGTGTTGGTTGAAATTGCGGGTTTCGGAGCTGCCCCTCTCCGCTTCCTCTCGCTCGCACCTCGCAGCCCCAGCGGCACCCTCGTCATTCCACCGCTCTCTCCATCGCAAGGCAGGGCTCAAATCAACTATCGCTGCTATGCAGAATCGGTCTCTTCGGGCCCAAGCGCGACTTCCGGGGGCTTCTTCTTCGTTTTCTTCTTCTTTTTGTATTTCTTCTGTTTCTTCTTGTTATTCTTCTCGAGGGTCAGCGGACTCTGCCGTCGCCGCAAGTGTGGACGACCTCCCCGATGCTCGAGAACGCGACGCCGAGCTCGTCGGAAACGTGCAGGCGCAGTTGGTGCTCATGCGTCACGGTGGGTTCTTGAAGCTTCCATCATCTCTCCGTATGCACATTGGTCATTGAGAGCACGATTTTCTCTGGCTCGGACATTGATGTGAATCCAAGACTCTCTTATTCGAATTCTTCCTCCTCCTCCTCATAGCATCATTGAATGGATAATCAATTCCTCCATTTCAAATGTACTTCACATTCTGATGGGGTAAAGGTTGGTGCAGGAGAGAGCATGTGGAACGACTTGAAGCTTTTCACAGGGTAGGTGAACCCTGAGAGAGTGTCGGGCATGATTCAGCTGAGAGACTTTACCTCTGGTGATGGTGATGCATCATGAAGATAGCATCCAAAGCTGTGTCCATGAAGTAGCCACATTGAGAAAATTAAATGCATAAATGCGTGTCCCTGTTCGTTCTCCACTGACAGAGAAAATTCAGCTGACTTTGAGCGCTTTTCCCTCTCGAGTATGAATGTGCTTGAATTTGGTTGATGATGGAACGCTTGCATGCGAGGTGTGCGAGAGATGTGGTTAGGACGCGGCTGTGAAGCGAAATCCTTGTGGTGAATGTACAGGGATGTGGATATTCCGTTGACCGAGAAGGGGGTGATGGAAGCGCTAGCAGGGGGGAAAGCTGTCAGCGAAGTTGACTTCGACATCATTTTCACCAGCCGTCTGGTCCGCTCCAAACAGACCGCACTCATTGCCATGACCCAGGTTCTACTCTTGATCTCTCCATGCAACTTGTCGCCCTCTCTACCTGCATCACGTAACTCGGAAGCTACGTGCATGCCCTGCAGCTCCCGGACCTATTCGTGAAGGAGAGGAATCTGCGAGGGAGGAGTGGGGAGATAGGACCCTAACCGGCCGTTGTGTGCGCATGCAGAGCAAGTACAAACGTGTGCCAGTGCTGATAAGAGGCGGGTACTACGGCAACGGTAAAACCGGCGACGAGAATCGACTGAGATTACGAGACGCAGCTGCGAATGCTCTGGAGCATGCGTCTTGTCTGATGGTTCCCGTGTACGCGGATCCAGCTTTGAATGAGCGTTGCTACGGTGACTTGCAGGTTTTATTCCAGAACCCCGTTCTTCGTCCGCCATTTTTTTTACGCATGGTAGAATTGGATATTGGATGGGATTCCACCTCGATCGTATCGGATCGGCTCCGAGCCCTGGCTTGGAGCTTGGAGCCTTCCAGAGGCCTTCAGTTAAGAGAGATATGGGTTGGGGCTATGGGTTTGACAGGGTTTAAGCAAAGATGCAGCAAACGAGGAATTCGGGGAAGCTTTGGTCCAAAAGTGGCGCAGGAGTCATGATACCAGACCGCCCAATGGAGAAACGCTGCAGGTGTGTAAATTCTGACGTCCAGAGATAGACAGCCTCGATTCAGACTTCGTTACAGTGAGCCTTGAACAGCACGAGCTCGGTAGAAGATGAGGCCTCTTCTCGTCGCAAGGGGAGGGGAATCGTGCGCTGCGAAGCTGAAGGCGAGGTTCATCGATGAGCGGAATGAGAGATCTGCGTCTGACTGGTGTTTGGGGCTGTGGTGGGGTGGATGTTTTTTCTCAGGACACGTACCGAAGAACGACTGTGTTCTTCGAGCAGACCATCGAAGCTCGGCTCAAGGAAGGGAAGAATGTCCTCGTGGTAGCGCACGGAAACGTATTGAGATGCATCATCACTCACCTTTCCGGCTTGTCGATCGACGAAATGCTTGCTCTTCAGGTGCACACCCTTTAGCTCACATCGTAAATGCTGCATCGTATTCATTAGATTATAACTCTTTCACCATTCAGAGGCCAATCGAAAATTCGTTGATGAGATTGTTGGCAGTATTTAGTATGATACGAGTCGTATGTACACTTCGTTTGACTTCTCTCCTCCATGGCTATGGCAGGTGGCGACAGCATTGCCCTATGCTTACGCATACAATGGACATTGTTTTGCTCAACATTGCCTACTGCCCCCCACGCATTCAGATATTCATCACAGCTCGTGGGGTTGGGATGGGACAGCTTCGGCTTCCAAAAAGGGGGATCTTGATTCCTTAATATAATCCAGAGCGTTTTCACCTCACTTTGTGCAAAAAATGTATTCCACGTGGGCCTCCGCCTGTTTTGATTGGAGCTAACGACATTGAAGTTGAAGCTAGTACCGACTAGAGTTCAGAAGACAATGGCCGGTGTCTGTATATGGAAGGAGCGGATAAATTTTCAATCCAAAATTCATTTGACAGTTGCCTTTCCACTCCATTACAGTCATCTTCAGTCCAAAAATCACTTGACAATCACATTCCCACTCCACTACAGTCATCCCTCAAGCTGGGATGATTGTAGTGGAATCCCTCCGGTGAGCGCTTTCACTCCCTTGCCTCCTCCAACTGCGACTCCTCTCCAAACGAATTTTCAAGACCCGCGAAACGTTTAACACTCGAGGTCGCCCCCAGGCCCAAGTCTGCAACGCCCAAGGTAACACAGTGAACGAATTGTCCGGCACCTTTACCTATTCCTCGGACAAGCATCCCGGCAGCTTCAACCTTTGATCCCTCGGCAAGCATTCTGGTGCCTCCAACCAGTCCACGGACAATTTCTGAACCACCGAGAACGACTCCTCCGACACACAACACGCCAGCTCTACACAGTCCTTCCCGCAATCCAGAAACTTCTAATTCCTTCTTTCTCTCAACCTCTGCTAGTTCCTGTTTCTTGAGTTCCACTTTCTCGAGTTCCATAGCCTGTGCGCATTCCTCTTGAGTGTACTCATGGTATAGAAGCTGAAACAAAAAGCCCATCAACTGCGTCAGTCAATCCACCTCGGTCGCGAGGTACTGTTGAAAACAGCACCACGAACTAAGAAGACACCATACATACTAGGATGATCCAGATTTATATGTCAGAAATGTTACCACTTAACGCTTACAGGTTAGAGCATTCACAAGACCACAGCTTACACATCACTCTTCAACTTCCTTCCGTCAAACGGAAGCCGAAAGGGGCCTTAAAATTTAGATGTACCTCGCTTTCGTTGATATCCTCGGGAAGATAAGGTGCTAAGAGATGGTCAAATATCTTGACGTCACGAATATTTTTTGAACATAGAAGATAGAGGCGAGTTTTTCAGATCACAAGCAAGCCAGTCAAACATCCTCCATAGCATGCAGTGGGAAAGAATAGAGTCCAGATAATTACTTCTATGTGAAGTGTGCCACGATCCTCCTTGACTAGATCGTTGTCCAAAGATGGCGACAGCTGCAGTCTGAGGGTTTGTTTTTGTTCTGGCACCAATTTTGAGATAGAGAACGAAGCCAAACCAAGGGTTTTAGCGTTCCCCATGTACATATCGTGATCTTCATCCACAACCTACAGGGTGGAACGAAATGTGTTGATCAGCTTCCACATATTCTTTCAAAGACTCTGCCCCAGGGAAATGATTTACAACTTCAGCTCAATACGCAACAAGAGCTCTGTAGAGAATTTTCAGCCAGAAAGATTTTATCACTTCAGTAAGGCATAGCAGACTTCAGTAAATATGTACATAACTTTACCTTGAAATGTAACACCTGTGTCTCATGGTCCTCAACATTTAGGTCGAAAGTTTCATCATATTGAGGATTGAGATTCTCATTGATCACTTGAGTCTTGCACTTGAACAGAGGGCGAACATACAATATCACGTACGGGTCAGCCATCAAGATATTGGTCTTCGGGTTCTTGAGACTTTCAGCTTTGACAACTGTGCACGTTACCTTGCCCTGGAGCTTCGTTTCCAAATCACTACACTCAACAAGGAGAGAAGTAAGAAACAGGGAAATGGTGAATGGTTTCTTAGAATTAGCAACGAAAGAAGGAACACAAAAACCAAAAAGGTAAAAACCATCTAGTTTGAACTATTGGCTTTTACGAACCTTAAAATACCAGGATCTGCCGAAAGTGGGATGATTATTCTGTGCGGCCATTGTAACTGATCGATAACAATGTCCTCCACGAGATCCTACACAAGAAGAGATGCATATTATTATAGAACTGGTGTTGGAAGACTTCAGATCACATATAAGTTGTAGGAACTGGCTGTATAGTCTCAAAAGTTTTCTCACGAATGACTTCACTGATCTCTAGGTATGAACCAAAATAAAGGACCGATTCTTACTCTTATCATGTCCGAAAGACCGGGAACGGCTGTTAAGGAACCATGGATCACCTTAAATATATACTTGATGGAAGGTTTAGGCTGCAAGCATTGCAAAACTATCAGGAACATAAAACATTAAGTGCACACAGTACGAGCAAGTATTGAAAGTAGACGTTGCTTACTTAGGAGAGCGTATACAATGCGAAAATACGTAGCCGGAATTACCTTTGCCAACAGGGCAACCACGATAGCGGATATAAAAGGCATCTCCTCTGACAACACGAAGATGACCCGGACGGTGGCAGAAAATTTGCAGTCCTTCAGCTGCGGAATTGGAGTTCCTTTGTTAGGACAACATAAAATGCCTTCGCCACGCAAATGGATGGCTCTAATCAAACAGGGAAGGTGCACAAAGGCCAGCCCATGTTTGCCGGGTAGCTAGAACTAGAATTTTGAACAATTTGACAGGGTGAATGGGAGATGCATCCAGGAAAAAATGAGCTAAAAATCCGGCAGTTACATGCTGATTGCGCCTTTCAAGCTTCTACGATACCTCAACTCAAAGACTTATTTTTAGCATTTATCATACCTGCACTGGTAAGACGGGCCCTATCATGGTGTAAACACCTAGTACAATGCTGGGATCGCCTCCCCATCGGAATTTCAAGTCCATGGTGACCTGGCCCTTTTCCAAGCTCTTTGTCCTGATACCTGCGGTGATAGAGTGACTCTTCTGTTGTAAGTTTCGTGTTAGACGAAAGCATCGGTGACAAGGGTACCTCAGTAACATCTACTTTCCACGAGTTGCACTTACATGTAATCTACAAATCGACCAGAAATATATCACAAGCAAGTGTCTCACGCCCACCTTCAATCTGGGGAGCCACATTTCCCAAAAGAAGCTCTTTAAACTTCAACTGCGATATACCAATTGGCCTGTAACTCTCCAGGATAGGTTCCAGCGATTCCTTGATGACTGCTCCTGCTGCCTGCAACGCAAATGACAAGGGAAAAGTGCATGAAATCAACTCTCGCAATCAACCAACACTACGGCAACCAGCTGAGCATGCTAAAGCCTTTCTTTGGGGTCAGGAGAAAGTAAGTTTTTGGACTCTAGACAAAGTAGGTACTCTAGACAGCTTTCTTGTTACATAACGCATGATTTGCAGTGCTAATATCAAATCAGTAAACAATTTTGGGAAAGACTCCGACCTCTCCAAAAATCACGCAGGAAGTTGTGATATTTCCATTCGAGGAAGAAAAATTGGAGAAAAATTGGTTGCCAAATTGCGAGAGATTGTAGACCAACGAGCTGACGAACTCAAAAGCACAGCCCGCCTAGGAAAGACAACAATCCGAAAAACAGAGAAACAAGAAACATCCAGAAAACAAATATCCAACAAAAACAAAAGAAACAGTCCAACAATTCCAAAAAGGAAGATACTGAATTGATTTTATCCAGTGGTAATTGTACCGAAGAACTTCGATTGAGCATTGAACAATCAAAGACACAAAACAACGTAGAACGGAGAGACCGTGTCGTACCTTCGCCACAGAGGGCCAAACTTTATCCAGTAGCTTATTCAGCCATCGAACCTGCGAACAAGATGCACTGAAATTAGTCGCTGTCACTTCTTTTAGCAGACCATGAACTACGTCAAGGCACAGAGATCATGTTGAAAACATAACAGCAATCGCATCAGCTGACAAGAATCTAGAGGAGGTCTAGAATTGTACCCGTTCGAATTCTGGAAATGATATCCATAACGGTCTGTTACGACGAAAAAGTTTTTTAAGATCATCTTGTGTAAGTTCTCCAAGCAATTTCACATCCGCAGCCTGTAAATGATACCGCGTTAGCAAAACTCAGATTCGGAGTGCTACAGTCTACCATATAGAGTCATTCACCATTGCCCGAAATACAGTATGAAAAGGCATGCTGAAGGTGCCTAGTAAGCGTCATTACAGACCTAGAAAATTAATTGATGGTACCACGTCGTAACACAAATAGTTTATTGGACCCATCAAGTATCGTGTTATGGGATGGTACTACAGACATCATCCATATTCTATTTTCGACCGCTGAAGTACTTCTCTGACTGCAATATGTAGTCTGAATTTCTGACGAAAGAGGCGGAGAAAATTCAAAAGAAAAGTAAACCGAAATGTCACTCCGCAGTCGAAAGGCTGATGCATCAGAGAAAATCCAGATACTCCTAACACTGACGAGGCGGCAATGGTTTTTTCTAATACAGGTAATTAAGTTCGACGATCCCCTTAGCTATCTACCATACACGAGTGCCTCCCGGAGCCCAGATAGATTCCGAGCATAGGAGCATGTCAAACCTTGGCAATTCTCTGGTTGCTTCTCGTCTGCATCAGAAACGCGAAGCCAAACACCATCGCTACTCCGAAGGCAAAGCCGAGTATCAACCTTGCCATGAACAGTTTCAAGCTTGCCATGAACAGTTTCAAGATTAACATGAAGCTTGCTTCCATGAACCCCATGCTTCAAAACCGCCTACTCCACTACCTCGTACGTACACAACGCCGGGCGAAAATATCCTCCGATATCCATCTACTAACTCGATCAGACTACTGAGCTCGCCTTCGATTGGAAACCACTACTGAAAATTTAAAGCCTGTTCCATCTCTGGGACACAATGGACTGCTCCATCAGTCGGCCATCTCACCACCCCACACAAAATCTTCACCACATGAACGCATAGTCACAGATCGCTCCGTTAACATCTACAATCTCGCCTAGCCTGTCCGTGCAAATTTGTCAACCAAACCAGCTCCTCCCCCCTCTCTCAAATCTATCTATCTACTATCAGTCAATCGAGCGCGTCTTCCGGGGGGCTTCTTCGTCGTCTTCTTTTTCTTCTTCTTATAATATTTCTTCTGTTTCTTCTTGTTATTCTTCTCGACGGTCAGCGGACGCTGCCGTCGCCGCAAGTGTGGAGGCCCTCCCCGATGCTCGAGAACTCGACGCCGAGCTCGTGGGAAACCTGCAGGCGCAGTTGGTGTTCATGCGTCACGGTGGGCTCTTGAAGCTTCCATCATCTCTCCGCATGCACATTGGTCCTTGAGAGCACAATTTTCTCTGGCTCGGACATAGATGTGAATCCAAGACTCTCTTATTCGCATCCTTCCTCCTCACATCCCTCTCTCTCTCTTCTCTCGAATCTATCTATCCACTATAAGTCAATCGAGCGCGTCTTCCGGGGGCTTCTTCGTCGTCTTCTTTTTCTTCTTCTTATTATATTTTTCTGTTATTCTTCTCGACGGTCAGCGGACGCTGCCGTCGCCGCAAGTGTGGAGGACCTCCCCGATGCTCGAGAACGCGACGCCGAGCTCGTCGTAAACCTGCAGGGGCAGTTGGTGCTCATGCGTCCCGGTGGGTTCTTGAAGCTTCCATCATCTCTCCGCATGCACATTGGTCCTTAAGAGCACAATTTTCTCTGGCTAGGACATAGATGTGAATCGAAGACTCTCTTATTCGAATCCTTCCTCCTCACATCCCTCTCTCTCTGGACGTAGCACTCTTATAAACTATGTTACATTTTTGCAGAGAAAGAGCTCATAAAAGTTCCACATTGTGACGAGGACCAGCCTCGAGAAGTAGATGGGGAGGGGGACAGCAAGAGAGCATCATTGAATGGATACTCAATTCCTCCATTTCAAATATACTTCACATTCTGATGGGGTAAAGGTTGGTGCAGGAGAGAGCATGTGGAACGATTTGAAGCTTTTCACAGGGTAGGTGAACCCCGAAAGAGTGTCGGGCAGGATTCAGCTGAGTGACTTTACCTCTGGTGATGGTGATGCATCATGAAGATAGCATCCAAAACTATGTCCAAGAAGTAGCCACATTGAGAAAATTACATGCATAAATGCGTGTTTCCTGTTCGTTCTCCACTGACAGAGAAAATTCAGCTGACTCTGAGCTCTTTTCCCTCTCGAGTATGAATGTGCTTGAATTTGGTTGATGATGGAACGCTTGCATGCGAGCTGTGCGAGAGATGTGGTTAGGACGCGGCTGTGAAGCGAAATCCTTGTGGTGAATGTACAGGGATGTGGATATTCCGTTGACCGAGAAGGGGGTGATGGAAGCGCTAGCAGGGGGGAAAGCTGTCAGCGAAGTTGACTTCGACATCATTTTCACCCGCCGTCTGGTCCGCTCCAAGCAGACCGCACTCAATGCCATGACTCAGGTTCTACTACTGACCACTCTCTTGATCTCTCCATGCAATTTGTCACCCTCTCTACCTGCATCACGTAAATCGGAAGCTCTGTGCATGCCCTGCAGCTCCCGGACCTATTCGTGAAGAAGAGTAATCTGCGAGGAACGAGTAGGGAGATAGTACTATGTGTATAGAACGTCTGTATAATGCATATGTTTAATATAGTGTTTCATACAGGACCATGTGTACAACTATACGACTAGCTAATAATAGCTGGCGGCTGCGCATGCAGCCCCGCATTGAATTATTTTATCATTGCACGGGCAATGGACGATGAATTGTGCAATAGAATTGCACCATAAATAATTGACAATTGTGCAATAGATGGTGACGATGGTGCAAATTGCACCATCGTCATGGGTCCGAAGAAAGACGCAGTGTGGGACGAGTTTAACAAGCCTTATGTCTTGGACGGATCCAGAGGGGTGGTCGGAGCGGCAGCTGCTCGTCTTTGAAGCCATATCAGTGCTTGCCCAAGGCGCGCTCGCTCCATTGGGCAGTTTAGGCTTTAGTTTAGGCTTCACTGCGCCACCTCGCAAGAAGACCAAAACGGCAATATCATCCTCGGGAGATTCTTCCCCTGCAGAACACAACGGCGATGTCACGGTCTCGTCGTCCACGTTTAGCAATGCACGTGCTCATTTTGACTACTTGACAAAGGAAAAGCACGAGCACCTATGCAAATTGTTTGCTCGCGCCCTTCATCAAATGACGATGCCGCTTATGGCCGTTTAAGGCCACATAAATTCGGACGTCCAGAGACAGATAGCCTCGATTCAGACTTCGTTACAGTGAGCCTTGAACAGCACGAGCTCGGTAGAAGATGAGGCCTCTTCTCGTCGCAAGGGGAGGGGGATCGTGCGCTGCGAAGCTTAAGGCGAGGTTCATCGATGAGCGGAATGAGAGATCTGCGTCTGACTGGTGTTTGGGGCTGTGGTGGGGTGGATGTTTTTTCTCAGGACACGTACCGAAGAACGACTGTCTTCTTCGAGCAGACCATCGAAGCTCGGCTCAAGGAAGGGAAGAATGTCCTCGTGGTAGCGCACGGAAACGTCTTAAGATGCATCAACACTTACCTTTCCGGCTTGTCGGTCGACGAAATGCTTGCTCTTCAGGTGCACACCCATTAGCTCACATCGTAAATGCTGCATCGTTTTCATTAGATTATAACCCTTTCACCATTCAGAGGCCAATAAAAAACTCGTTGACGAGATTGTTGGCAGGATTCAGTCTGTTACGAGTCGTAGGTACCCTTCGTTTGACTTCTCTCCTCCATGGCTATGGCAGGTGGCGACGGCATTGCCCTATGCTTACGCATACAATGGACATTGTTTTGCTCAACATTGCCTACTGCCCCCCACGCATTCAGACATTCATCACAGCTCGTGGGGTTGGGATGGGACAGCTTCGGCTTCCAAAAAGGGAGATCTTGATTCCTTAATATAATCCAAAGCGGTTTCACCTCACTTTTGTGTAAAAAATGTCCCCCACGTGGGCTTCCGCCTGTTTTGATCGCCTGTATGACCATGACTTCAAGTTCATACGATGTTCCACATTTTTTCGAGTACCTTCGCCACATATCTTTGACCTGTGCGCTTCCGAATTGTTACCAAATACAGCGAAATGTTGCCCACTCGTGAGCGAGAAAATGAGTTTAGAGTTTAATGAGGTGACAAGACAAGAAAGTGTACAGTCTAAAGGAGAGTCCGATATCTTCATCCCAATACACTAATGCTGGAAGGTTATAAATGGACTCGGAATTGAAGTGAGGGAACTACCTTCTATTTTCGGCCATTTCTCGCTGTAGTTAAATGTACCACAAACGTAAAAAACAAGTTGAGAAGGAAAGAGCCAGAGAGTTCCATCGCCATACGTCCGTCTTCCAACGTCTCAAGGAGTGAGAACGAAAAACGCTGCAAGAGAACATTTATGCTCTCTTGCATGTAAGACAACCGTTCGTCTGTCTATTTTCCAGTGTATCAAGGAGCGAGATCTAAAAACTGCTGCATCTTTGGGCTGCTGCGAATATACTTGAGAGACAGGGACCTTCCAATTGAAGAAAAATTTAGTCAACACAAACGAGTGTCCCGAGCCGCCTCGGTAAGTTGATATTGATTGGAAAAAATCTAAAAGAAAATTTTATTTTATTTTGCCGACATGCCAAACAAGACAACCCAATGAACACAAATCATCATAAGCATCTACAACTTACAGCAGACTTGGCATGCCTTCCCATCGTATACTTTGCAAGGTACAGGACTGTGGGTCTCTATAATTGGATTCTTCGCGTATACTTCTTTTTCGAGTAAAGTCTATGACAAATCTTAAATCTCACATTTGTAGCAAGCCAGCAACACTTGTGCGGACTCCAATACGGACTTTTTACTATACAATTATACAAGGTACGGTTTGGGATTTCCGTATAATACAGAGGTATAATATCGCAATGAAACATACACACCTATATACAGGACACCGTAAACTCATCGTTTTGTTTCATAGGAAGTGCTGCGTAAGTGTGCCGTCGGAGCTAGCGACAGTGAAGTTGAAGCGAGTACCGGTAGAGTTCAGAAGACAATGGCCGGTGTCCGTATATGGCAGAAGCGGGTAAATATACAGTTCAGAAATCACTTGGCCGTTCCATTTGCGTCCCTGGTCTTCTTAGAGATGTTGCCGATAGAGTTAGTCATACCTCTGGGGAGCGCCTTCACTCCCTTGCCAACCATGGTAACGCCTTCTCTCCCAGAAAGCTCCAAGAGCCACCAACAGCGACGACGACACCCCGTCAACGCCACACAAAACCGTAAAGGGTAACCCATAAATCAAATAAGTCTGATTGATTGGCTCTTACAAACCTTAAAACACTAGGATCTGCCGAAAGTGAGATGATTTTTCTGCGCGGCCATTGTAAATGTAGGGTAACAATGGTCTTCACGAGATACTACACAAGAAGAGAAGCAAATTATTATAGTACTGGTTTTGGAGGACTTCACATCACAAATAAGTCGTAGAAACTTGCTAAATAGTCTCAAGAGTTTTTTCACGAATGACTTCACTGATCTCTAGGTATGAACCAAAATAAAGGATCGATTCTTACTCTTATAATCATCGAAATACCGGGAACGGCTGTTAAGGGAACACCGATCGCCTTCAATGTATACCTTATCTCGCGTTTAGGCTGCAAGATTTTTCAAAACTATCAGGAACACAAAGCATTAAGTACAAACAGTACGAGCAAGTTTTGAAAGTAGACGTTGCATACTTAGGAGAACGTATACACTGCGAAAATACGTATACGGAGTTACCTTTGCCAACAGGGCAACCACGATAGCGGATATAAAAGGCATCTCCTCTGACAACACGAAGATGACCCGGATGGTGGCAAAAAGTTTGAAGTCCTTCAGCTGCGGAATTGGAGTTCGTTTGTTAGGACAACATAAAATGCCTTCGCCACGCAAATGGATGGCTCTAACCAAACAGGGACGATGCACAAAGGCCAGCCCATGTTTGCCGGGTAGCTAGAACTAGAATGTTGAACAACTTGACAGGGTGAATGGGAGATGCATTCAGGCAAAATTGAGCTATATATTCAGCAGTTACATGCTGATTGCGCCTTTCAAGCTTCTACGATACCTCAACTCAGACTTATCTTTAACATTTATGATACCTCCACTGGAAGGACTAACCCTAGTACACATCTAGTGTAAACATCTAGTACAATGCTGGAATCGCCTCGCCATCGGAAGTCCAAGTCCATGGTGACCTGGCCCTCTTTCAAGCTCTGCATCCTGATACCTGCGGTGATGGAGTGACTCTTCCGTAGTAAGTTTCGTGTTAAACGAGAGCATCGGTGACAATCGTACCTCAGTAACATCTACTTTCCACGAATTGCACTTACATTTAACCTACAAATCGACCAGAAATATATCAGAAGCAAGTGTCTCACTCCCACCTTCGATCTGAGGAGCCACATTTCCCAAAAACAGCTTCTTAAACTTCAACTGCGATATACCAATTGGCCTGTAACTCTCCAGGATAGGTTCCAGCGATTCCTTGATGACTGCTCCTGCTGCCTGCAACGCAAATGACAAGGGAAAAGTGCATGAAATCAACTCCCGCAATCAACCAACACTACGGCAACCAGCTGAGCATGCTAAAGCCTTTCTTTGGGGTCAGGAGAAAGTAAGTCTTTGGACTCTAGACAAAGTAGGTACTCTAGACAGCTTTCTTGTTACATAAAGCATGCTTTGCAGTGCTAAAATCAGATCAGTAATCAAAATTTGGATAAGACTTCAACCTCTCCAAAAATCACGCAGAAAATTGTGATATGTCCATCTTCGAGGAAGAAAAATAAGTAGAAAAAGAGAAATTGGTTGCCAAATACGAGAGATTGTAGACCAACGAACTCACGATCTCAAAGCACATCCCGACTAGGAAAGACAACAATCCGAATGGCAGAATAACAAGGAACATCCAGAACACAAACAACTAAAAAAAACAAAAGAAACAGTACAACATATGCAAAAATGAAGATGCTGGATTGATGTAATCAAGTGGTAATTGTACCCAAGAACTTCGATTGAGCAATGAACAATCAAAGACACAAACCAACGTAGAACGGAGAGACTGTATCGTACCTTCGCCACATTAGGCCAAACTTTATCCAGTAGCTTATTCATCCATTGAACCTGCCAATAGGATGCACTGAATAAGTCGCTGTCACTTCTTTCAGCAGACCATGAACTACGTCAACGCACAGAAATCATGTTGAAAACATAATTGGCAATCGCATGAGCTCAAAAGAATCTGAAGGATGTCTAGAGATGTACCCGCTCGAATTCTGGTAAAGATATCCCTAACGGGCTGTTACCATCACAAAGTTTCTTAATATCATCTTGTGTAAGTTGTCCAAGAAATTGCAATTCTGCAGCCTGTGAATACCGCGTCAGCAAAACTCAAATTCGGTGTGCTAAGCTCGCCAACAGAAAAAGTAAAATTGCCCAGGCGTCATTATCTTTCTGCAATCTCCTTGCAAAGACGCGACTTCCCGATCTTACTAAATGCGGAGAGGACTAGGTTCAAAGCAAATGTGTTACGCTTCCCTTTCTCTGGGAGTGGCAAGCAGAGAGTCAAACACAAACAAAGATCTGAAACGTGTCTGCCATGATCGGACACTTATCAATTTGGACGGTCTAGCCTCAGCATAAAGAAGCCGGGCCTCGAATGCGAAGTGAACTTTGCGGCTTAGAGGGTTGTACCGACCACGGCCCACTCGTCTTTCAATGGGAGATATAATACAGTCTACCATAAAGACTAATTCACCACTGCCCGAAACACAGTGTGAAAAGGCATGGTTTTGAACTAGACAATGTGCCTAGAAAGTGTCATCACATAAGAGTCAATTCGTAAATTGCTCTTCCTGTGAGTGCGAGGGGATATGTGAACCATCTACAAATGACGTGGTTTCGGAACTGATCTCCAGTTTTTGGCGACTTAGGTCGAAGCATAGTAATTAGCGCTCGCTCGTTTTCTTGTGAACTAGGTGGAGTTTTCCTTCCGATCGGTTGTAGTATAAAGTGTTCGATTTAAGAGCAAGCATCTTGTTTCCGCAGACAGTTAACAATGTCTGAGAAAAGAGGCGGTAAAAATTTTTAACAAAAGTAAACCGAAATGTCACCTCGCAGAGGAAAGGCTGATGCATCAGAGAAAATCTAGATACTCCTAAAACTGACGAGGCATCGATGGTTTGGTCTAATACAGGTCATTAAGTTCGACGATCCCCTGAGCTATCTACCTACACGAGTGCCTCCCGGAGGCCAGATAGATTGCGCGCATAGGAGCATGTCAAACCTTGGCAATTCTCTGTTTCCTTCTCCTTTGCATCACAAACGCGAGGCGAGCAACGATCACCACTCCGAAGGCAAAGCCGAAAATCAAACCTGCCGTGAACCCCATGCTTCAAAACTGCCTACTCCACTACCTCGTGCAGTATACAAAGCCGGGCCAAAATATCCTCCGATATCTATCTACTAACTCGACCAGACTACTGAGCTCGCCTTCGATCGGAAACCACTACTGAAAATTCAAAGCCTGTTCCATCTCTGGGACACAGAAGATCAATGGACTGCTCCATCAGTCGGCCATCTCACCACCCCACACTAATTCTTCACCACATGAACGCACAGTCCCAGATCGCTCGGTCAAGATCTACAATCTCGCCTACCCTGTCCGTGCAAATTCGTCAACCAAACCAGCTCCTCCTCCCTCTTTCAAATCTATCTATCTACTATCATGCAATCTATCTATCTATCCAACTATCCCTAGGAGGCGGGCATCGCACGAGATACGGCCGGGAACAAGCCCTCGCGCCGCTCCCTGCGCCGAGCTGTCTGTGGTACCATCTTGTCGATCCCTCCCGCTCGACCGCGAGCTTGAGCTTTTTACAGTGGGCGCTGGCATTTTTTTTCTTGAGGGTCCGTTTCTTGTTCGCCATCGTGCGAGCGGAGGAGGGATTGCTGCGTTCGACGCGAAGGGATCGGAGTTTTATGTGTCGGGGTTTATGTGAGAGATGGGGATGATGGAGGCGTGAGCTCACGCGGAGAGCCCCGTCGAGGATGACGGTGCGGGCAAGCTTTGGGGTCGAGTTCGAGCCCGGTTCTAGCTGAGCGCGGTGAGCTCGATTGATCACACCAGATCAATTGAGATCGATTGGTGGCTAGATTCGGGCAAGGGGCGGTGTTGGTGGAAATTGCTGGTTTCGGAGCTGCCCCTCTCCGCTTCCACCCTCTCGGACCTCGCAGCCCTAGCGGCACCCTCGTCATTCCACCGCTCTGTCCATAGCAAGGCAGGGCTCAGATCGACTATCGCTGCTCTGCAGAATCGTTCTCTTGTGGCCCAAGCTCTTCTTCATGGAGCTTCGTCGTCGCGTCTTCTTCTTCGCGAGTGTGGAGGACCTCCCCAATGCTCGAGGATGCGACGCCGAGATCGTCGGAAACGTGCAGGCGCTGTTGGTTGGTTGTCCTGTTGGCGCTGTTGGCTGTGGAGTTCTTGAAGCTTCATCATCTCTACGCATGCAATTTTGTCCGTGAGAGCACGATTTTCTCTGGCTGATGTGAATAGATGCATAGATGTGATTCCAAGACTCTCTTCATCGAATCCTTCCTCATCACCCCCGTTCAAGTTCACGATCGATCATCTGCCACAGTGACAGCCGACAAGGAAAGCCAGCTAGAGTGGACTTCAGTGTGGCTCCGACCTACTACTTCTGTATATCAGTAAAAGGAGTCGTTATTGACGACCGACCAGCTGACTCTCAAAAAAAAACCTCGTGCTTTCTAAGTAGTTTGAATTGTTCAGTTGCTCGTACGCATCCATTGATGATGTATTGATCTTTCTGAGTCTTGCTTGCTCTCACTTCTTCTGCACTGATGATCAATACAATTGATAACCTCCCATACACTGCTGCTGCTGCTAGAACTCGGATCAGAATCCAATCAATGTCGCTACATTTGAACATAATTTCCGTATTGAGATTTGAGATCGAGTCTAAAATCGTTACAGAAACGATCACGAGACTTGTAAACATGCAACTTCATACGAGTATCCTTCAATATGTGCGCTTGAAACTTCAGTCAACCAACAAATTTGCAGTGAAGTGAATGAACTACATTCAAATGATTTAGTGAGTGATTGAGTCACGTATTTAGAGAGAGAGCTGAGTTGTCGAATAAAAAGGATGGAACGACGCTTATATATTCGATGAGGCTGTAGATTCCTGACATAAATATTTGGCACACTTCGTCTTTCGAAGGTCCGAATTAAATAAGATTTCATGAGTCTAAAAGGCCAACCACTCGGTGGATATAGATGGCCACTTCAATTCATATCGGACTGCAGCAGCAGCTATGGATGCTGGTGAGCGAAGGAACGATGATGAAGGCCGAGAGGCGAGAGAGGTCTGATCGCATCATTCTCGAGCTGCATGTCCAGTCAATATTGTCTGTTTTGAACCCGACACACGACCACTCTGAATCCCAGTTCTCGCCGTCCACACCATGGACCCAAAATCTCATGGACGTAGAGCGTCTTTGCAAGCGAAGCCACCGACTCCTCGCTGCCATCGTCGTTCCGACGAAGTAGACAGTGTCCCCTTGAACCAAGCAATGCATCTCCGCATCACGCAGTCCTTCGTGGCAGGAGCTCGCGGTTTTCAGAACTCTTTTGACGAGCCTCTGCGGCACGACCTCCTCGAAGGTGCTGCTCCATCCCGAGATCTGGAAGCTCAAAGCGTAGAACTTCTCAGCAGTCCGATGGAATCGTTGGAGCTCGGTCAGCAGCATCACTTCTCCTCGAATGCTGATCAGGATCTTGGGAGTGGAAGTGGAGACGGGCATTCTCGTCGCGCTCCAAGTCTCCTGATAGACCTCGTACTTCATAAGCATGATCGAAGTGCACAACGCATTGTAACCCGGTCTCGTTGTACAGGGAGTTGAGGAAGAAGTAGTATCCAGTCACTCACTGAGTTCGCTACCAGCTTCTCCAGAACAAGGTGAGACCAGGTGCTCCTTCGGAAAAAAATAGCCCCGATGAGATGAGAGATTAATAGAATGGTTTTTGAAACTCTTTCATACAAATAGAATAATAAGCACAAGGAGATAATTTGTAGATGCCAAAATTTATTTCATTTTGATACGGTCCATGTTAGTGTTATGGACATTGTTGGGACATTATTCTTAATTAGTATAATTAATTTTTATATATTAAATATATATATTTTTGACATATCGTTGTCAATTAATATATTTATTTTTTATTTACTATCACAAATATTATTAACATGAAAATTATGGATAATCTATTAAAATGTAATTATATCTCTATTTTAATTTGTCTTTACTTTAGTTTTTATTAATAAATAAAAATTAAATATAATAATAAATTAGTAGACTTATTGCAAGATATAATTTATGTATTGATATATTCATTTTCAAAAATTATAATATTTATGCGTGTTTAATGATAGCATTGTATTGATCTTGAAAAATTTCTTCTTATTGAGAAATTCAAGCCTTTGTGACTAAACTTGAATTTAATGCTAATCCAAAGCGTAAGATGCAATAGTTAATGAATTAACAATATTTGGGAGCCAGTATAACTATCAAGAATTCAAACTTTAATTGATTACAAATGGATTTTCAATTGAAGAACAATCTACCTAAGATAAGAAAAACATCTTTGTATCAAATTTGCGGACTAAAAATTTTACACAAGAGAAAAATGTGAACTACACCAAAAAAATTTCACTTGTAACAAAGTATGTTACAATTTCTATGATATATGTTCGGGCTGCAATATTTAATCTTGTTATGGATGAGATAGATATAATTAATTATTGTTATGAATCTCTAAAAGAATATATCTATATGAAAATCAATTGGTTTCCAGGAAATAGTTTAAAGAAGTTGATTTATAGATTGCTGGATTTGTTATGTGGATAGAAACTAACTTTTAGGAAATGAAATGCAAGATTTGATGAGTTCATGGAAAAACAAAATTTTTAACGGAATGTGTATGATACTTGTATATACATGAAGAAGATGAATACTTAGATTTTCAATCTTATTATTCTAATACTCTACGTGTGTGACATATTCATGTTAGCAAAAGAAATCAATCTCACGTTGACAGATGCAAAAACTAGTTGAAATGTGCAATTAAGGTAAAATATTTGATCTAAGAGTAAATCCAAGAGTACATTAGTGATGAATATCGATAAGAATCTGACAAAGAAGAGTATGGTTGACTCAAAACAAGTAAATTTAACATGTGCTTGACAAGTTTAACATGATAGATTTGCAAGTAATATAGACTTCTTTGGCAACACATTTCCAACTTTTTGTATCTCAATGTCCATTGATGACATTGAGGAGAGAAAAATGTGATCTGTTTAGATACAAGAAAGATGCACCAAAAAATAATGAAATGTATTTTAAAGTACTTGAAGAAAACTAAAGATTATGATTTATTATTTGATGGTTTATAAGAGAATGTCAAATTAACCAGTTGATTGGTGAACTTGCGATTGAAAGATCCAATTCCGGCGGCAAGATCTAGACTGCGTTTAACATTGTACACACACTTTTCATATCAAATGAAAACTACGTTAGTGTTTTCTACTTCTCGTGTGATCGTTTGACTTTTGTATTTTTGTTGTACTAAAAAACCAACGAGGTCTCGATATTTGCGGATTGTACAACATCTTGCTGACATTGCTAGTCCCGAAGATTTTATGTAAGTTTGCGAACTTCAAAGGCTGATCTCGAGGAAAATGAGCTGCGAATAGGCACTCGGATGTGCACTTCTCTCGTAAATACTGGCATGTCGCGCAAAGCCAACCGGAAGAGAGGAGCAAGCTCGCTCTTAATAAAAAAAAAATGATGTTGTACATTGTTTCATCCGAAAATTAATTATAGTCATATTTTATATTTAATTTGACAATCTCTTTTATACTTAAAAATTTATAAATTAATTTTGAATTTTTTGTGTCGACAGATTAGCAATTAGAGTATCTATCAAAGGCGGTGAAATCTAGAACTCCAATCTTATATTCACATTGTTCTTGTGAAATGAAAACTACATAAATGTTTCTACTTTTTCATATGATCGTGTGACTTCTTGTATTTTGACTCGAAAGATTGCCAAACTTACTTGCACATAATTTGCACCACCAAAGTTAGGCTGGTTTTTTTGTTGGATTTATTTCATCTAATCTAAATCAAAAGATCAAAAAATGATGGAATCAAAGTGTGTAACTAGTGCAAAAATATGCACAAATAAATAGGTGACATTCTACCATACTAATCACATTTTGACAACAAATGTAAAATGCATGGCATAATTTTATTTTGTTATGTTTATTGAGACTTATATTGAAATTCATTGGAAGTTTGCATGACACATCATAGATTAAATGTAAAAAATTATCTTATATTATTATTTCATTTATGTAAATATTGAAATTTGAAATTGTTATTTTATGAATAAAACAAGTATCTTTATTATTGAAACTATTTTGATATTGAAACTAAAATATTCGTGATAGCCAAGATATATATTTAATTTCTAATTTATTTTTATGCATTAAAAAGATCCAAAAATTAATAGTTTTGAAGAATTTCAAAATAAAATTTCAAAATTATTCAACGAAAATTTTCAATTTTTTTTTCATTTTGAAATTTTCACACTTATTTATATGGATTAAGACTACTAATTTAGTTTTGAATAAACTGTACAATAGATGATTGAATTCTAATCCAAAAACAGGTTTTTGTGCTAATTCAAGATTAAAACATGTGGAGAAAATATTTGAACGTATATATTCAAAAAAATAATTTCTCTGAAAAATATTTTATCGTATTTGGTTGTTATCATGATATACATGTTATAAACTTTATTTATATTTAGATGAAATAATTAGAGAAATAAAGCTTGATGTTTGATTTTGATAATTCTTCTAAATAGAATAAAATGAACTGTTAAAAAAAAATTTAACATGAATTCAATTTTCAGTTATATCAAAAGGTGTGTTGAGGTTAACTCTGGTAAAGGAATAACTTTAGATTATAGTTATTTATAGCTAGATGTGTCGTTGGCGTTGAATATATATATATATCCAAGGCTTCTACTCTAGGTGTGTAGTATTCAGTTGTGAATAAATTCTCTATCGCGTGTTTCAATTGTGGACGTAGTACTTTAAGGTGAATTGCATATACTAGTGTTTCTTGTGTTCATGTTTGGCTTGAATGTTTTACGTCTAAGAAGTGGTATCAGAGCAATTTTTGATTCAGACACTGATAAAGTGTTTTAGTCATATCTATATCAATTTTTTACTGTGATTGAAGCTTTGCTCATGGGTTGTTTAGTGAGAAGTTTCCACTCATGGTTTGTTCAGTGACAATGATTTCATATCTTGCTTTTTTCAAATTTTGCTACGGTTTGTTCGAGCCTGATATCTTGACTATGATAGGTTTCAATATTTATTTTCTGAAGTGTGTTTGGCGACAGGTTTTTGAGGTGTGTTTGTCAGGTAGTGACAAAAAGTGCTTTGTAATAACAGAAACATCTAGTTCTTCGATATGATAGAGAAATAAGACACTTTGAAGTTGAAATCCAAGTAGTACCTATAGGTTCAAGAGAGATGTTGAAAGCGCCCGCAAACAAATAGTTTGTTAGTCGATTTGTGCAGTAGCACGGGGCACGTCTATGATCGAGGTCGGAAAGAGAGGAGAGGAGCGGAGGCTGAGCGGCGGGGCCTTCTAGGCATAAGCGGAGCAGCAGACTTCACCTCCTCGTGGCGGTGGGCTTTTGTTCTCCTTCAACCCTCCCCCTCCTCCCCCCAAGCGGCGCGGCCTCCAAGTCATGTAGCAGATCAGAGCGACGGACTTTGCCTCCCAGCAACGACAGACTTTTCTTTTTCTTCAACCCCCTTCCCGATTGCGCAGCCTTTCAAATAGGAGCGCAGCGAAGAAGCAGACTTCACCTCCACGTAGCCGCGGAGGCCGAGCAGCTGACAGTTTTTCTTCACTCCCATTCACATACCCCAAGGCAAGAGCGAAGCGGGCCGAAGCACCCTAACCCTCCTACCCCCGAGGCCATGCGTTGGCAACCCCCCGTCCCTCCCCCTCCTCCCCCCCCCCCCCCCCAAGCGGAGTCGGATGACTTAGCGCAACAGCGAATGATCCGTAGAGTGCACTTCGTGCACTACTCGGAGTTAATCTCTTTATAGGGCGTATAGGTTCCGGCAGCAACGACCGGCCATTTTTTCTTCCCTCAGCGCAAGTCGCGGGAGCGACGAGCACCCCCCGTCCAACTGCGGTTGCAGTCGGACGTGGTCAGGGTGTAACGCAATCAGGACAGACGTGATTGTAGTCGGACGTGGTTAGGGGTCAGGCAGTTGTGGTTGTTGTAAACATGATCAATGGTGGTCCTGATGAGGATTGTGACGGTGCACGTCGCAGATGACGGTTATTGCGGGTGACGGACGGTGTATCGCAGGCAACAGTGGTCACGAGCAGAAGAGTCAAAGATCTAGATCCCCTAAGCGCAAGAGAGTTCAGTTTTGAGTTCAATCCCATGATAAGAGGAACTTGGTGTGTTGGAGATGTGGCAAGAATGAACACATCAAGAAGGATTGACGGATGAAAATAAAAGATACGAATCCCTCTCAAGTGTCGAATGTTACGGAGCATCTTCACTCCGAAGAGAAATACGTGTTTGCAGAGGATTTTTGATGCTGGAAGTATGTACTTTGTAGTTCAACATGTTGGTGATATATAGATTTTGGATTGTGCTGGTTCTTATCACATTTGTTACATTAGAGAGTTCTTCTGTACTTTCTCAGGATCAAACGGTTTAGTCTTTATGGAAAATTACCAACCTTGTAGAAGTGAGGATGTTGGATCTATAAAGATTCGCATGTTTGATAGTGTCAACCGTACCCTAACACACGTTAAGTTTATACCTAACATGAAAATAAACTTGATCTCTCTTGGAGTGTTAGATTCACATGGCTTAGAGTGAAACTCTAGACATGGCGTGTTAGATGTCAAATCGGGTGATAAGAAGGTTATACTTAGGAAATACAGCACAATAATTTGTACATGTTAGAGTTCATCACTATTTGTGGAGATGTTAACTTTACCAGATCTCGCATAGAGATGTCTCATGTATGGCATTTCAGACTAGGCCATATGAATGATAGGTAAGTATCTCTTCTTGATGAGAAAAAGGTATTACCAGGTTTGGGTAAAGTTGACTTGACATTTTGTGAACATTGCATCATGGCAAACAGTATAAACAAGCTTTTAATGTTGGAACTCATAGTTCTACGGAGATACTGAAGTATGTACATATTGATGTGTGGGGTAAATTTCCTATTGCATCACTCTCAAAAAAGCTCTACTATGTATCTTTTATAGATGATAACTACAGATTTGTGTGAGTATATTTTCTTAACCACAAGTCTAAGGTGTTTTCCATCTTCAAAACTTGTCTCATACAAGTTGAGACTCAGACTGGCCAAAGGGTAAAATATTTGCTATCAGATAATGATGGCAAATATACTTTTGAGAAATTTTAGAGGTATTATACAGAGGAAGAAATTACTCACCATTTCACGATAGTTTACACTCCACAACAAAATGTTGTTTTGAGATTCTTAACATAACAGTGTTGAAGAAGATGCGGAGTATGTTAAGCAAATATGGTTTATTATGAGAATTTTGGGCCGAAACCGTCAACGCCGCAATTCATTTGGTAATCCTTTTTTCTTCTAGTGCAATCAATTTGTCTACATCGTTTGAACTCAGATATAACTGGATGGCGGATTACAGTCCCTTGAAAGTTTTTGGTTGTACTGCTTATACTCTCACATCAAAGAAGTAAAGTACTAAGTTAGATTTTTTTTCCAAGAAATGTTGTTTACTTGGATATGTTAGAGTAGTGAAATGTTACAGGCTATGAGATCCAATAGCGCATAAGGTGATTGTCAGTAGTGATGTTTTTTTCAGTGAACTCGGCTTATTGAAAGAGAGGAAGAACTCTAAGGCTCCTCGTACTGACAAGGAGAAATCTCAAATCATGGATATTATTGGGAGAGAGTTTGATCATTATATCACTAATGATCTCTCAAAAAAAGAAACACCGGTGCATCAAGAAAAGAATCACTAGGAGCAAGTTATTGTTGATGAGCCTATTGCAATAATTTCAGGCGATAGAGATCAACGTGAAACTTATAATAGGAGATTGCATTGTGCTAGTAGGGCTCTTGAAAGGTTTGGTGTATGGGCAAATTCATCCATTCTCAAAGATCGTGACTTTGATGTCGAAGATGGGAATGGTATGACATTGATTTTGGAAGAATGTGAAACTTTTTCATACAAGAAAGCTCAAGCTGTGATCAACAAGCTTGAGTGAAATGTTGATATGAAGCTTGAGTTGGTTGAGCTTCCAAGGGATCAAAAGCTGATTGCCTCCAAGTGGGTATACAAACTGAAGTACAATCCAGCAGGAAATGAATCGAGAATCTTCAAAGCTAGGTTGGTGATTAGAGGTTTTACACAAAAAAAGTATGTGTACTACAACAAAGTTTTCTCACCTGTAGCTAAGTATGCTACAATTTGTCTTATATGTGCACTGACAACGATATTTGATCTTGTTATGAATCATATGGATATGGTTACAACCTTTCTCTATTGATATTTAGAGAATGAGATCTACATGAGACAAACTGTTGGCTTTGAGGTCAAAATCAAAGAGAGTTTGGTTTGTAGATTGTTGAAATCATTGTATGTACTAAAGCAAGCTCTTAGGTACTGGAACACGCGATTAGATGAGTTCATGAAAACACAAGGTTTTTACAAAGCGTGTATTATTTTTGTGTGTACATGAAGAAGGTGAATGATGAAACGTTCAATCTCATCAGTCTAGTGTTCAACCTTGATGACATGCTCATCTTGGCAAAAATCGATTTGATTTTTATGAATGCAAGAGTAAGTTGAAGTCTGCATTGTGATGTAGTTTCGAGTCGTGTCATTTAGTTTCTTGTACTTATTATATTTAGATGTTAAGATAGAGTTTTAGGTCGCGAGGGGTACAGGGTCGGAGACGGTTCAAAGAACGTCAGTTCTTCGAGGAGTCAAAGAGAATATTAGCCATGAGGATTCATAGGGATCTTGAACATAAGAGGTTATGATTGAGTGATAGGAACTATGTTTGTTGTATACTTGATAGGTTCAACATGGTCCGTATTGCAAAGGAATATTGACTCCTTTCGCATCACTTTTCAAACTCTCCGCAGTTGAATGTCCTACCGATGTTGTGGAGAAAGGAAAAAACTCATGTGTTCCTTGTGAACAAGCCGTGGGCAGCCTCATGTATTTAATGGTGTGCACTAGGCCGGACATTGCTCTTGCGATGGACAGGGTGAGCAGATACATGTCAAATCTAGGAAAAGTTCATTGGAAAGCAGTGAAATGAATTATGAGATATTTCAAGAGTACTGTGGATAATGGTTTACTGTATGATGATTTATTAGACAATGTCAAATACTTCTTTGGTTATGATGATGTTGACTACAAAAAGGATCTAGATAGAAGAAGATCTACAACTGGGTATGTGTTTACACTTAGCGGTGAAAGCATTAGTTAGAGATCTACCTTGCAAAAATGCTTAGCTCAGTCAACAACGTAAGCTGAGTATGTGGCAGTAGCAGAAGCGGCAAAGAAAGCTATATGGTTAGATAGACTTATCATGGAAATGGGATTGAAGCAGGTTGTGATAGATCTTCATTGTGATAGCCAGAGTGCTTCAAATCTTTATGTGAACCAGGTCATGGATAGTAGAGTGAAGCACATCAACATGAGGTATCACTTTATCAGACAAGCAATGTTTGATAAAACAATTGAACTAGTCAAGATCAACGGTAAATTCTATTCAGTTGATGCTTTGATCAAAGTTATTCATTCGGAGAGTTTCAAGCGACATTGTGCTACCATGCAGCTTGTGCATGAAGAGCAGATGTAGAAATTGCTAGCATATAACTTCAGTTATCTCTTTATAAGTTTATTCTATCTTTTGATGGCAACGGTTTAGTTCTAGTTAACTCTTGTGTAAAGAGTGAGCTTGTATCAAGTTTCTGTCTAGAACTTCTTGTGGAGTAAGTAAATAGATTACAAGATCTCTGATACCTCTATGCTAGTAGGTTTCCTAATTACATCTTTATGTTATTACTCTATCCTACTATGCCTACAATTAGATTCTAATTAACTCTCGTGTAAAGAGTGATCTTGAGTTAGATTTTTCTCTAGAACTTCCCGTTGAGTAATAATAAATGTTAAAGAGTTTATTGTTTCCTTAACACGAGTAAAGGGGAGGATTGTTCAGATTAACTTCGGTAAAGGAGTAACCTCAGGTTATAGCTACTTATATTTGGGTGTGTTGCTGGCGTTGAGTATATATATACCCCCAAGGCTTCTACTCTAGGTGAGTAAACTCTCTCTCGCGTGTTTCAGTCGTGGACGTAATCCTTGTGGGTGAACCATGTATACTAGTGTTTCTTGTGTTCATGCTTGACTTGAATGATTTACGTCTAAGAAGGAGTTGTATATTCAAATATTTGAAAATGATATAGTTATATTTTTTTATTTTTCATATGAAAATTAAAAATTATTTTCATGTGAAAATTATAAGAATCTTAAATTCTGAATAATCAAATATGATCTATTTTCTGTATATGTATTGTTGGTTGGTAACTTAATTTTAAACCCTAAATTTCATACAAGAGTAATATTACATTTTATTTATGAAATTTTTTGATGACATTGGATTATTAAAATTGATAATTTTTTTCATATGATTATAATTGTGTAAATTTTTCATATTTTTCTAAAATTTTATTGGAGATTGATTAAAATTGAATTTATAATATCTTTGGAAAGAAATATATTTTCAAGCTCACATAGTTTATCATATTATATGTCTTTAGAAAATATATAAATCTGATGTAAAATTCTTGAGAAATTTACTGAAATGAAGAAACTTAATTTTACTTGAAGAAATGGAGCATTCATGAGAAAAAAAATTAGATAAGAATGGGAAATCAAGGAGAAAACTCAAATTTAAACACAGCGAATTAACGAGAAAGTTCATAACGTAACTTTTATAAGAGTACGTGGCATTACAATGGAGGGCATGTAACCAGTTTTCACGAGAGAGAGGTTCTATGTACTTTGGGCAGTTGGTGGGGTTCTCTATACACTTGGTTGGGTTTTGGTCTTTACGCAAAAAGATGTTATCGTCTATGCTTGTGATCTAATCTTCGTTCCATGCCTCTCGGTTTTCCTATCCGTAATTATCTTCCTAGTTACTCTTCCACTGAACTGGCGGGAGCTGTGATACAGATTCAGTCCTGTCTACTCTAAAACTCCCTATCAGCATACTAACTTCAAGGTTTGAGAAATTGACTTTCCATTCGAGGTTCATGTGACTTTCTTATAATGGCCTAAAAGAGTACATCAACACACCAAAGTGCACACTATACGTGATGCAACTGTGTAAATATCCGAGTTCGATCGAAAATGGACCCAACTTTTATCCCTGGAAAGAAATTCTTTTGGGCAATGGAGCTCTCTTATATAAGAGCTTCAGAGTTCCTGTCTGCCGCCGAGGAAGTGGAGAATCAGAATGATAAAGGCCTTGAGGATACCATAGGACAAACTTCTATGCTACACACGCGAAAGTTCTGTTCTTACTATCAGACCCTGATATAAACACTAGTGGTTGTAGAATCCTTCATGAGACTCGGGAACGCAGTGCAGTGAACACTGGAACATGGAATATGCTGAGGCTGTGGTACTCTAGGCTTTGCAAGGTCCAATCAATTTCGGCCTTCGGCCCATTCCATGCATGCATGCAAGAGGACAGCCTTCTCGAATTTACGTGAGACATGTGGATCCAACCAGTTCCACAACATGTGTGCTGAAAGGGGCCGGGCTAGGAGTTTTCTGTCTTCAATTTTAACCACATATGCAGAAGGAAACAGATGGAACGACTCCGTCTCTCCCAGTAACCTATTTGTTAACGGAGAAAAGGAAGAATACCACTTTTTCTGATCGACGGCTATGTAATCCTCATCGGCTGCTTTCCTGAAGTGTGAGAGAAACTGACGGCAGATGAGGTCATATTTGTGTACATAGAGATACGGAGACCATTTGATTTTGGCCAGTGCCTGGAACTCTTCAAGTGCTTTTTGTTTTCTTCTCCTTTCGGTGTCGGCCAGTCCATAGAAAAGTTCTATCCCTGCACTGGCCACGCGCTTACCAAAGGCAATGAGATTTTCACCCTGCGCTGGAAATGCCTTGGTAATACCATGTTTCACAACATGTGCAAAGATGCCCGCCACCGATGATAGAGTGGTGAACGGAGGATTGAAGAAGTGGCCCTCAACCGGAGATCCCTCCAGTGCCAGCCTTCGACATACCAGCAAGCCCTTGGCGGCGCCGAGTGAATGACCGGTCACGATCACGTTGCGGTACCCATGTTGCTCACCGAGACTCCGGACCACAGCCTCCAGAATTGTGATCGTTTTTGAAGAGTTCAGTGTCTCCACAAAGATCCTGAAATCGTTTTTTAGATCCGCCCAATTCAAGGGGTGAGTTCCCCGGATGGCGACTACCCAGTGTGGAGTCTCGTCTGAACGAACTTCGTTGTCTTCCTCCTTTCGTCGGAAGACACCCAAGTACTTGTGCTGATTCGCATACGACAGTTCTGCACAACCATATAAGTTTTGCCGCAGTCAAGCAAGATCGGATTCAGATGGGGTTCAGGTCGAGATGGATAATGTTAGTCCGATACAACACGCACCTGTTGCATAGCGATTACGATCGTACTCAGTCAATACTTCCTCCACCGGGATCAGACGATAGTGCACATCGGTCCACCATTTCTCGTATTGTGGATTACCTTTGAACCTGTCATACATCCCATAGACCAGCCTTCCGAGGATTTCATGTTTCCTGATCTTCCGTACGCTTGCATCACTGTCATCATCATGGACCGACATGGAGCTTGATCAGTTACACCATATCTTACACGCTAAAGCTTCTGGCCTTCCTCCAATACACGTAACAATTTCTCATGTCTATGAAAGGAAGATTAGTACAGGAAATATCGGAACTCAGAGTCTAACAAGTCTTCTTACTCTTGCTGATCTTTTGCGTGAGAGATCGGCTGCTCGTATGCGCGAGAGATCGGCTGATAGATCGGCGATTTTGTGACGTCCTTGACATACTTCTCCTTCTTCTTATTATGATAGTTGTATGCCGTATAGGCGGAACAAGCAGCCACAATTAAACTTAGAACCATGATAGCTTGTCACAATCCAACAGAGCTTCCACTCATTCGTGTGCGAGAACGACGATAACCACACCTCGCAGAGTTCCTCGTCGTTCAGACCTCGTGACGAAGTGATAGGGATCGTCGGGAATCGTAATGAGCGAGAGGCGTTTAGACAAAATCCCCGTACAAAGACGTCCCCTCGCTCACCCCACGGCTTGTGAGCTGATATACCCTCAAACCAGAAAGGCTCAGCTTCGAATCTATATTATCAGTTGCCATCCAGCTGCATTCTCTACCCTGGTCACTGCTGTAGCATATGCTGCACATGCTTGACTTTGGTGTTTCTAGGATCATGCGTTGGCTTTGACCTTCTGTCCGGCCACGGCTTCCGAGTCATCGTCGTGGAATCATCTGATGATCATGATCATCTGTACCACAACATACTCAGTGAACCCGATGTGGAAGAAGAAAATTTGTTTTGCTGATAGAGTAACGGACGGAGCCCATACACATGGTGTCCAAGCATTGTTTTCTCGTATTTGGGGAAATGCGTCATACGCAAGCATCAAACAGAAAACAACCCAGGCTTGCGAACATGTGAGCTTCGTGGTTCAACTCTGTCAATGTGAAGAGTCTGCTCCTGCTTTGGCTTAGACTCTACATCAGAAATTCATCACTTTTTCCTCATAGATTTCATCCCGAGCAAGAGATACTACTGAGCGACCAAATTGGTAGTGAATTTGATGGAATGGACATTATGTTGCATAATTATCTCTATTTTCAGCATCAATTTCACACAAATTCCATCCACATTACAATACAAGTCTGATCAAAATCCAGACGATCAAAAATCGACTCAGAAGATTCACTTTAATAACATTTGATTAAAGTTCCAGTGTGGATACGGTAATATATGATTCTGAAAGCTGCTGCTATGTATACACGCGCTTTTGAACTTGTGTGTCCCTCTGTTATCGAATTTTGAGCAATGGGACATTGATGAGATTCAGATAGAAATCTGCAATGCCACAGGACTTGATAACAGTCGTGAATACACTGACAATACTGTGTGTCTACTTGATTGACTGTGCTGGAGAGCAACAAGAGTCAAGTTGAAGTCCCATTCTTTTTTGTTTTCGACTTGAACCCGATTGTGTGGCTACTCACACAAAGAAATCAGAAATTCATCACGTTTCCTCATAGAATTCATCCCGAGCAAGAGCTACTACTGAGCGACCAAACAAGTAGTCAATTTGGTCCAAGAGAGATGATTTTGCGTATTTATCTCTATCTTTAGCATTCAGTTTCATACAACTTCAGGGATTTTGAGGGGTTTAGGGTACCTAGAAAGCCTTTCTGGTTTCTTCCCAAGGTCCATGGTTCGGACACTTGTCTCGAAGGGTGTACTTTTTTCTGTAAGCACCTTCTTCTGCTGACATCCTTGTCGCTGTTCCTTATCGTTTTGTCTTGCGCTTGGTTCTCCCTGACTGTACAACTGTTGCGGTCCTTGTAAGACCGTCTTCTACTATCAATAGTTTATAATATGCCAATTTGTGTTCACATACATCGCTTTTCAATCAAGTGGAAAGCTTATAACAATGAAATACTAATTAATTCAGTACGTCAACCTAGGGTGAAAGAGAACATGCGCCAATCCACATTTGAGTTGAATGAATCTTGATCATTGGATAAAATCAGAAGTCGATTTCTGACGTAACTACTTGAAACTGGTATAAATTCTTTTTGAATCTAAAGTACCGCAGAATCCTCCCAACCTGTGCGACCAGTGCAAGTGCTATGCATTTTGTTTAAATGAGTTTCAAATGAGATCCCTACTATCATGATAAAATATGACGTTTTCGAAAGGTCAGCGATGAATATTTTTGTTGTCTTAAGAATGAAGTCTTCAACAGAGGTACTGTGAGGTACTGTGTACCTACCATTGATGCCTTATTATTTATGTGTAAATTGTGGTTGTTGTAGTCACAAGTTGCTTGATCATCCCAAGTATGGGTGTTATTGTTTTGTCAGTGACTGGTGTTAGCGATTACAGTAGATGTAAGAAAGGCTGAAGAAGCCCACTTGACTACTTACTGCTCCAGATGCTGATACTTCCATACTTTTGATGTGCTTTGTGACGAAACATGAAAGATGTTTTCCCACCGCACATGGCGAGTAGACCTAAGATTTTTGTGCATGTTTTCCTTACTGCGCGAAATTGATTTCAATCCTATCTAGAACTGGACCAAAGATGATTAGACCCTGGGATGAGCGCATATCGGGAGAAAATTATTGATATGCTTTGAAAAAGTGTCTAAGTAATTGTAGCTAGCTGTCCGAGACATCATTCCACATGGTTGCTTCGGAATTTTCAGAGTATTCACATTCGAATCGACGCTTGGGTCATGATCAAATGTAAGGTGTCAAATGGAAGACGAAGTCCAGTCACATTAAATACATCATCTGGTTTATGTCATTCACTTCGTACGAATTATGTAAAGTCATGGGTCCATTATAATCTTTCTTCACCAAATATTCCTCAACAATGTTCATGTCATTGTGTTCCCACAGTAGAAATGTAGCAGTGACATGATAGTGTCATGCCATACCACAACTGCACTCGCGCACTATCTGTGTTTTGAGATAACACAATCAGTAGCATAGAGTTGTAAGACAACTCAAAAGGTAAAGTTTGAACTATGATTGCTTCGAGTGCATTTTTTGGAATTGAAAGGTATGTTATAATTTGTTATGTGATTTTAAAATTTGTATTTTAAGATTTTGTATTTCAATGAGTAACAACAAGAGTTATCAACAGAATAAACAAAAAAAATTTATTATAGTCAAGAATTTATTGATAACAATTTTAAATTATTTATTTTCATCTTAAGAATATAATGTATAAACATCAACAATTTTTTTATTGTTGTTGTGTTTGACAATGGACAAGTCACAAAAATTTCATGATGAGCAGTTATTTTTTGCCATAGTAACTTCCTTTTCTGGTTGATAAGACAAAATATTGTATGTTTCATTTTCATGTTTCATAACTCTCGTGTAATTGTTTGTTTGTGGATGAATGCAACATCGCCATATTAGAAAAATTGTTTGATTGATAGAACTTGCAAAATTTGAATTGAGTTAGCCACTGCAGATTTTGACTTTTTGATGAAACTAATCAATCTCTCAATATTTGAAAATTTTTTTCAATTTTGCATCTCAAATAAGTATTTGAATTTTGAAACAACAAACCTTTTCAGTTTGTAGAGATTTATTTTTGTTACTGCAATTTAATGTTTGCGGGTGACAATTTTGATGATTTTTGTCTTGATATCACAAATGATCTTAAATCTAATATCACTTTTTCAACAATTGCGAATTTGTACTCTATGGCCTAGAAGGTTGTACCGACCACGGCGCACTCCTCTTTCAATTAGAGATATAATACAGTCTACCATATGGACTAATTCACCACAAAACACAAACCATGCCTTTTCACACCCGAAACACATTGTGAAAAGGCATGCTTTTGAACTAGACAATGTGCTTAGAAAGTGTCATCACATGAGAGTCAATCCGAAAATTGCTCTTCCCGTGAGTGCGAGGGGATATGTGAACCATCCACAAATGACGTGGTTTCGGAACTGATCTCCAGTTTTTGGAGACTTAGTACGAAGCATAGTAATTAGCGCTCGCTCGTTTTCTACAGAGCTAGGTGGAGTTCTCCTTCCCATCGGTTGTAGTATAAAGTGTTCGATTTAAGAGCAAGCAGCTTGTTTCCGCAGGAGGTTAACAATGTCTGAGAAAAGAGGCGGAAAATTTCTTCATGGGGCTTCGTCGTCTTCTTCTTCTTCTTCGCGAGTGTGGAGGACCTCCCCGATGCTCGAGGACGCGACGCCGAGCTCGTCGGAAACGTGCAGGCGCTGTTGGTTCGTTGTCCTGTTGGCGCTGTTGGCTGTTGAGTTCTTGAAGCTTCATCATCTCTACGCAAGCACATTTGTCCGTGAGAGCACGATTTTCTCTGGCTGATGTGAATAGATGCATAGATGTGATTCCAAGACTCTCTTCATCGAATCCTTCCTCCTCACGCCCCGTTCAAGTTCACGATCGATCATCTGCCACAGTGACAGCCGACAAGGAAAGCCAGCTCGAGTGGACTTCAGTGTGGCTCCGAGCTACTACTTCTGTCTTTCAGTATAAGGAGTCGTTATTGACAACCGACCAGCTGACTCTATAAAAACCCTCGTGCTTTCTAAGTCATTTGAATTGTTCAGTTGCTCGTACGTTGATGATGTATTGATCTTTCTGAGTGCTGCTTGCTCTCACTTCTGCACTGATCCTCTACCTCAGCACTTATGATCAATACAAGTGATAACCTCCCATACACTGCTGCTAGAACTCGGATCAGAATCCAATCAATGTCTCGAGCTACATTTGAACATGATTTACGTATTGAGTTTTGAGATCGAGTCTGAAATCGTTACAGAAACGATAACGAGACTTGTAAACATGCAACTTCATACGAGTATCCTTCAAAATGTGCGCTTGAAACTTCACTCAACCAACAAGTTTGCAGTGAAGTGAATAAACTACATACAAATGATTTGGTGAGTGATTGAGTCACGTATTTACAGAGAGAGCTGGGTTGTCGAATTAAAAGGATGGAACGACGCTTTTATATTCGATGAGGCTGTAGAGTCCTGACATAAATATTTTGCACACTTCGTCTTTCGAAGCTACGGTTTAAATAAGATTTCATGAGTCTAAAAGGCCACCCAGTCGGTGGATATAGATGGCCACTTCAATTCATTTCGGACTACTGACTGCAGCAGCAGCTATGGATCGCTGGTGAGCGAAGGAACGATGATGAAGGCCGAGAGGCGAGAGAGGTCTGATCGCATCATTCTCGAGCTGCATGTCCAGTCAATATTGTCTGTTTTGAACCCGACACACGACCACTCAGAATCCCAGTTCTCGCCGTCCACACCATGGACCCAAAATCTCATGGACGTAGAGCGTCTTTGCAAGCGAAGCCACCGATTCCTCGCTGCCATCGTCGTTCCGACGAAGTAGACAGTGTCCCCTTGAACCAAGCAATGCATCTCCGCATCACGCAGTCCTTCGTGACAGGAGTTCGCGGTTTTCAGAACTCTTTTGACGAGCCTCTGCGGCACGACCTCCTCGACGGTGCTGCTCCATCCCGAGAGCTGGAAGCTCAAAGCGTAGAACTTCTCAGCAGTCCGATGGAGTCGTTGGAGCTCGGTCAGCAGCATCACTTCTCCTCGAATGCTGATCAGGCTTTTGGGAGTGGAAGTGGAGACGGGCATTCTCGTCGCACTCCAAGTCTCCTGATGGACCTCGTACTTCAGAAGCATGTCGTGATCGGAGTGCACGGCGCAGTGGAACCCGGTCTCGCTGGACAGGGAGTTGAGGAAGAAGGAGTACCCTGCAGGCACTGCCTGAGTTCGCTTCCAGCTGCTCGAGACCGAGTCGTAGACCAAGGTGAGGCCCGGTGCTCCTTTGGAAACAATCGCCACGATGAGTCGGTAGCGATTCTCCGATGAATTGAAAACTAGGCCCACTCGGTAGCAGCTCCCGTCCACGTTCAGGACGCTCATCCCCTCGATGATTATGTCGTGCTCGCCAGGCTCGATCTCAGGAATCTTCACGTGTCTGACTCGTCTCGTGAGCGGGTTCCACAACACGAGCTCCCTTCTGACACTCGACCTCATGCATAGTATTCCTCCACCCGAGGCCAGAACTTGCAGGGACCCGATAGGACCTGGAAAATTGGGCAAAGATTCCCATTTTCCCGATTTGAATGCTTTGATGGGGCTGTCAGAGGTCTGGATGAGCAGACCGTTTGAGGACTGAAGACGAGAGCTCGGAGCATACTGATGAGGACACAGAATCGCCGATCTCCAGCTTTTGGACACTGCACAGAGTCGGACGAGACTGGGGAACGGGAGCCTGGATCTGATCTGCTCGACGAGTACGTCAGGAAGATATTTCCAGAGCTCGGGGTCCATGTAGCTCGACTCTGACAGCTTCGTCTCGTCGGCACTGTCAGATTGCTGCACCTTCGACCGCATGGCCCATCGCGAGACGAATTCACGAACCCTCGAGCTCAATTGGCATGTCGGCGCCATTGCAGTTCAGCTCAACGACCCCAGCTATGGTGTCCAGGACGACGACTACGACGATGATAATTGCATGCCCCGACCTGCTGCTCGATTGGCGAAGCTGTGCCACTTGTACGAAAGAGGTTAAAGAGTGCAAAGCAGTTGGAAAGAAAGGGGAAAGGGAGAAGTGCTCGTATAATGGTGGGGAAAGCTTTATAGTGGCATTCCTTGTTCCCGTTCAGATGGTGCTGCTGCTGCTCATCATCATCATGTCCATGATCAGCAGCATCGAGGTTCGGAGAATGTGCGGTCTGCTGATCTTGACGTTGGATCACGGCTCCTGTCCGGAAGAGGTTACGGTTTCAACTTTCGAATGCTGCTGCTGCTGCTGCGAGGTCCGTTCGAAAGAAAGCTCAAACGACCGCTCTCGAGCAGGGACGAGCACCATGAGAGAAATCGAGCTGACCGCTGCGAGCGAACTCGAACGGACCCGTCGGCTCGAAAATTCTCTCGGGAAAACGGTTTCCTTGATCGAACCAACTCCATCATCTTCATTACCTTATCTGAAATCTTTCACATTTGTTTCAGATCTCTGTTTCAGATCAACGGATCATCAGAGTGGCGAAGCTCGTGATCAGCATCGGGGACTGGGGACTGAAATCTAAAGACTGAAGAAGAATGGGTTCTGGATTTTCTATTCCGTCATCTTTCCTGGGAAGATCGAAATCGATCAATTCTGCGTCTGCTTTGGAATGCAGCGCACTCGAGAATCACGAGCGGACTCTAAACTCCGACGTGTGGAAACAGCTCCCCATCGACATTCTGTTAGGCAACATCGTCACCAAGCTCCCGTTCAGCAGCCTGCTTCGATTCTGCTGCGTCTCGCCGGCGTGGAAATCGTTCATCTACTCTATGGAGAATTCGCCCCTCTCTCACTCGTCCAAGAGCATCCTGATTCACAGCCTGGCCCCCCTCAGAGTCCTCAACACGCACATCGACGGCGGCCGCTGGGTCTATCCTTACCCAACGTCGGCCGACCTCAGAGTCTTAGCCTCAGCCGGAGGCCTCCTGTGCACGAGCACGGAGGAATTCGGGCAGCTGCTGGTGTGGAACCCGATCACGCAAGCCAAGCGACAGCTGCAAATTCCTCTGGATTCACAATACGGAAACGCTCTATACCACGTCTTCGAATTCCAATCTGAAATCCAGGACACCGACAGGTGGGTGACGAAGCTCATCAGCTCGGGATCGCTGCGGGTGGGGCTGAATTACAATCCCAGAACGAATCACTACCAGCTCATTATCGCAGCTCTCTGCAGAAATTCAGCAGGCGCGACTCTGATCTTCGACTCGCGAACTAAAGCGTGGAGGAACGGGCCCGAAATTCCCCAAGGAATCAGATTCGAGCTCAACTCCGTCTCCTCGCGATGCGGCCGCTACTTCTACTGCGCTATGCACGCCAAAGCTGTGTACCATTTGCTGGAGCTCGACCTCGACCTCGACCTCGACTGCTGGACCCAGTTCATGATACAGCCGAGGCTGGGCATTCCGGAGGGACTGATCGAGCAACGAGGCATTGTGCTGCTGCTCACTCGGTCCCAGCCTGGAAGAGAGACTTTCTCAGTGTTCGAGCTCCATGTGCGGCTGGGGATGCCCGATGTGTACCAATGGAAGGAGAGAACCGCGAGGCACGTCCCCGGCATGCTGTCGAAGCAGGTTTACGGGGCCATGAGGACTCGGGAGAAGAACCTGCTCATGAAGATTGGAGATCGGTACGTTCAGTGTCTTGGGAAAGGCAATCTGCTCTACTTCGTGGGGACGTCCGTCGAGAAATGCGTTGTCGACGCTCAGACCGAGAGCTTTCTGAAGTCGGAGGAAGGCGCGTTCTACACCTTCGTGCCCATCCGCTCGCAGTGCAGGCTCATGAGTTTCGTCCGAGTCTGGGTGCACGACACTTGTGCCGACCGCTTGATGCATCTGACGGACTGGGCTTTCGAGGGGTACGATGACTTCAACCTCATCTCGTTTCAATTGTTCAACCCCTCGCTCTGTTCTCGACCGTGAGCGAACGACTGTCCTCATCATCCTCGTCGGTGTAATTAGAAAGGTCTCTTCATATCTCAGACCTCGATCCTTATTTTCTAGAGCGCAATCCTACAGGCGCTGGATATCACATTTCTCTCCGAGCGGTGTCACAAACTTGCAATTCTTTCTGAAATTCATGAATGAGTGAACAATGCTCTAAAAATGCTCCTACCGTGAATTCTGGAAACTTCAGTTTTGTTGTCTCAAATGGATCCACGATGTTATGGCCAAAATTGCTTCATATCAGATTTGTAAAGTATGAAGGACATGTTTTAAAAGGCTTCCTGAAATTTGGATCGTGAGCACTGCTCGGAACGGGCAGTGCAGTAGTATCCACCGCGACCATCCTCTCGAGGTCCAAAGGAGACATAATTCTATTCGTTCATACCCGCTTTGTGGGCGATCGACAGTAGTCGTCGTAATGTACACTCTCGAACAAACCATGTTGCTGAAATGTAGCGAATCATTTATGACAGAGGTGACTCGTTTCAGCATTCTTGTGAAAGTCGAAGTCCATAGATGACAATCTTGGAAGTCTCTAGGTGCAAACTTCGAGGGAAAAAATTCGACGGCCGATGCAACCAGCTCTGAACGTGCACTGCATTATTTGCCGACGAGCTGCATGAGAGCGGATGTTCGGTCGAGTGAGGCGCCACCAAACTCGTTTGTGGGTAAGCTTGAACGCCCAAATTGCGGACAGAACAGAAAGATAATCCTACACTGCAGCTGAATTTCCATCAGTTCCAGACTGCTGTTTCCATTGCAAGCGGTTGTCGACCCTCTTGTTCGCTTTGAACCAATTTTCATTCCTCGAAGAATATGCCCTCCTCTCAAAACGCCGCCATGTTTGGAGCTGGGCATGAAATATTAAACAAATAAAATGGCCGAGCAAGTGAGTGACATGCCGTCTCTATTTCTCATAGGGATATACAGAGAGCAACTACTTGCTCGAAGGAGAAGGTGCAACCATTTGTTGTGCACGTTCAAGCCTACGTAGAGACCCATCTATGGAGAATGGAGACTTAGAAGACCTAGCCTACTCGAGTCCGTTTACTGTGAGGTTAAATTAATCATTTGGCGGTCAGAGGGGGAGCCTCCGTGTGCACATGGGCTCGTGATGCCTACGTTAGCTCCCTCAATCTCACTCCAGTCTAGAGCTCATCGTGCCCTGGGTCTAAGGTAAGACGTTGCTTCTATCCCAGTTTTTCTAATGGAAGACAAACATAGCGAGACTGCGTGCATGCCTTCGATCTGAGCTTGCTCGGCCTTGAAGGTACTGAGATCACTGTGCTCCAATGGCCTGTCCGTGGGATGGCTTTACATATAATTGAAAAGCATATCTCCGAGTTACGAAGCATCGAAGATTCGAAAGATTTTCTAAAAGACCCAATCAAGCGGCAGGCGTGGGGCTCAAGCATGGAAGGAATAAAATATTGCTGTGGGCAGAGCTCAGTCCGGGGAGCAAACTTCGTCAACACGTGAACTGGGTGGTCAACTCTCTCCAAATTCGGGCTGAAGGCTTTCCCACTCGAAGATTTGCTGGACCCCCGTTTTCAGGAGTTGAATTCCGGGGCCTGATCTGAAGCACGTCCTTTGACATTTCTCCAAGCCCCCTGTACTGACTGACAGTACTGCACCGGCGTACTTCTGGTATTTTTTTCCCATTCCGTTATGAGTTTTTTAAATGCGTAAAACCTCGACCTCCAAGCCTCCAACCACCACTGCCGGTCCCGCTGTACTCCAAGCCAATATCAATGGAGGAGTATAATGCGAAACAGCGCTCATATCAGCACGCTCATTTCATTCGCCAGGCTGCCGCAGCAGAGGAACTGTGAATATTCAATCTTGTGAAAAAAGGATTATAAAACTCTCGTCCGAGGAGGATATCACATCAAGGGAGGCATGAATGTAATAACACCAGTAAAGAAGTTTGGTACATCGCTGGACAGCTTCTGTGCATCCAAGGAAGCATGGAAGAATATTTCATGTCCCGTCATCTCGGTCATTCCTGTCTTTCATGAGGGCCTCCCGGACCATTCCAGATAAAGTGATGTATGTACTTGGAGGCAAGTTAAGGCGAAGGTAATCATAATCATGGCATCCGAGGATTTTCCACACTGGGATTTCGGATCCTGGCCTGGCCTTGAGGACTGACCGGCTCGTGCCAGCTCATGATCCATGCACCACCCTCTCCCCAGAAGTCCACAATGTTCAGTCGGCACGGGACTGTTCGCATGTGAGCTCATTACAGTGTCCAACAGGCCCACAACGTCCAATGGAGCTCCGCGGAGATCCACCGAGTGTGGTGGAACTGCATCCCTTTCGAGCCGGACGCTTGCACCTCTGGGCATCTGAGAAATAACGGTTCGGGTGGACGTCATTTATGTGAGGATGACCCACAGAACAAGATAAGGAATTTCCGAGCTCTGCATCAATGTCTGGGCACATTATCCCACAAGCAAATTATATCCCCAGATCACACCTCCCTAACCTGTTTCTGAGGAGGGTTTTTCTTACTTGGCCTCCATTCAGATTTCAGACAATTCTGTTTTCTGTGCTGATTGTGCTTCAACCGAATTTTGATATGTCTTTGCTGTAATCGAGACCTTGCCACCATAAAGCACAAACTACGAGTTTCTCCTGTCTGCGATCTTCGAAGCTTCTGGTGACAGACAAAGGCATTAGACTCGAGGCGCGATTTTGAATTCCAAATCGTAACTCTGAACCCTAAAACCCCGCCATCTTCTGTCAGATCTGCATATATGGAAGCCAGGGAGGGTGGTCTGTCTCAATATTCATTGTTCAATAACTGCGCTGCTGTACAAGAGAAGATTCCGATGGCCGGAGGATGAGAAGGAAAGTCCAAATCTGGTGGAAAGTCCGTCCCCAAGTGTCCAACTCCAGAGTCAATGAAACTCGAGAAGTTTGTTTTGAGGTTTAATGGAGGCAGCTCAACGCCGTTGAACGGAGATGGATGGCGAGGGAGGGAGGGAGGGTCGAAAGTCTGTGTGCACGCAGTTCATGCGGTACCTCGTTCTCAATCTCGCCAGACGGCGTACTGTATATCAACAAAAACTCCTCGAACAAACGCATCACACTGTGGCATAGGCATCGGCCATGGCAATCATGGAGCGAAGCAACAACAGCCCCTTGAACTACGTCATTCTTCCCCAGCTTTCGTCCTGATCGGCTCAAAATTTACAGTTTTTCTGCAACGCCGTCGACTCTCGAGACACCTACCTGCTCATCAATGAACTTTGTGTGGTAACATGAATATGAACCACAGACAGTAGAAGGCTTCGTAACGGTGGAGTCTAAAGGTCCGCGTGGCTCGTCGTGGAAAGTCTCAACACCGTAGGTTTCGAATCATGAGCTTGAATCTAAATATGGAGCTGGTTTGACTCGATTCCAAATTTGTCCATTCCTGACTTCAAGTCTGGAATCTATTTCGAGATTTGTCCGTAGAATGGAGAAATGAAAAGGGTGGATAAATCGAGGGGGGAGAACTTGGCCGGAACTTTCTTGACTCCGGTCGTGGTGACATGCATCTTCGCCTATCAATAGACGAGCAAATGAAATGCCTCCTCGTATTTGAGATCGAGGTTTTGCCATCTTTCGATTTGGTCCTTTCCTTTCTCAGGATCATCATATTTTCAGTCGAGGATAAAGGCCTCGATGAAGACTTTACTTAACTCTGCTCTCGAGCAATTTTGGAGCTCGGTAAGATGAAAAGTCGCTTGTATCCGAGCACCGCTCGAGCAATGTTTTCCTCAAGCTTCTCCAAATTGAATCATTTTTTGAGGTTATTTCTAAATCTGATGAACATCACGTGTTGACCACTTTCAGGTGAAGTCAAGGTCGTCCATCATTGCGCTGTGGAGTCTATGGCATGTACTTTGCATTGCTTTCAGGAACACCGAAGGAGTGTAAAAGGCAGATGCAGATGCACTGCTTTAGAACCCAAGGCTTAGGTCTCCTTTCGCAGCCAGGTACGAGGCCTGCACCATGTCAACCATGTCCTAAAAGGACCGGGTCCATGGTCAGATTGAACACTTCAAGGATGAGGAGGCTCTGCCCTCATGGCGTCAGGTAAAGGCTCTGTCTGAAATGAGCTCCGAAGCCAAAACCAACTCCATAGGAACAAATAGGATTTGTTAAAAGATTCCGGAGACAAAATCCCATATTTACCATAATATTAATGTATATATATATATATATATATATATCCTTGTTAACCTTACATGTAATATACATTATTGTAGAAAGAATATAATGTAGAGAATGGGAATGAAAAATGACTTCCTTGTATTTATGGAAAGAGGCCCTGGTTTTGGATTTCTGTGTTTCTCTACGATCCAAATTCATTCATTAGATTCTACCTGCACCCAAGCATACCTTTCCCATAAAAGCGACTTCAACATAGAGAATCCATGCCTCAGCTTTGTAGGCAGATGGAAGTCACATTCCCCCCCATAGCCCACTGACATGCACCCACAAGCGACGAGAGGCACCAAACAAAAAAGTAAGCGAGGATCCAATTACGCGTTGTGTGCCCCTCAATCTTCCTTCTCGTCACTCCAAGTTCGGAACCCTCAACCATTCCCTCCGAGTTGTCCACACCTCCCTCAGCTGAGCTCCACCTTTCGCCAGTTCTCTGTCCGTTTTCACCAGTTGACGAGTTCTGGCCTCGAAGTCTCGTGTCGACGAAGAAGCAGACACTTGACAAATTCTCTATCCGGGAGAATGTGAATCTTCAGAGCGAGCTACGCGGACAGTTAAGAGTAATCAAGCGGTGAGTTCAGGCCCTAGCTCTAGCCTCGAACCGCCATGTCCTATTATCCTCCGGGGGGCCATAACGTCCAGCACGGCAGTAGTTGGAGACTTCGCCAGCAGATCGCGAAAGTGCCGGGCACATTCCTGCGGAACGGGGGAACGCGACCCGTTCAGCGGACGACTGACTGAATGCTGTCCCCGGGCCGCATTTACGAGCCATCAATGTCTCGACGTCGGAACGCAGAGGCTGGTGGCTGCGGAGACTTGGCCACGGGCGTCAGTTCGTTCAAAGCTTCGTGCATGTGGCCAGATTCTGGACCCCGATTCTGGGAAGAGTGATGACGGCTCGTCGTTCTCGGTTTCTCCCGAGCCCGACGGCGTGACGATGTGTACTTGACTGAGTTGATGTTGATGATCCCATCGCTATCGATC